ATAGCCCTCGTGTAGCTTTGCGCAAAATTCAAAACAAACAAACAAACCAAACTGATACAGATCTACGAGAAACGAATTAGTTGTAATAAAGGTGGGTTTCCTGACGTTCGACAATTAAGAATAGATTCCTTCATCTACACGAAAGATTCAGTCAAACAGTTTTATTATTAAAAAGAAAATATAAAGTATAAATTTAGGCCTACTAGTTGTACGTTTGAAACTCGTAGAACATCGTCAACATTCGTAGCGTAATACAATTTTTGATAGGATAAAAATATTAGCGATTATCTTTGTTAAGCGCCCAAAAGAACGCGTTATAAACTTACAAAGTGATTTATACCGAAGCGTTTACTTCTGAAAACATTTTTAACAGATTGGTTATAAAAAAAATAAAAAAAAAGCGTGTAAGAAACTGAATAATCACCAGAATTTAATCCATGGCTTCGTATGACTGATAATCACGAGACATTAAAATTAGAACGGTAACCAATATATTCTCAATAATATTTAACGCAATTTCTTTTATTTATAAATGATTTTGTTTTAGGTTACCAACATTTTGATGTGTGTCAGTACAGTAGAAACAGGGCAAAAGTTGTAAAAAAATATCTACCCTGCATATTAAGGACTCTAATTAAAAAATAAATTTCATCTAAAATTATAGAAGTGACTTGTATGCGAACAATTCGTAAGCCAGAAATATATTTTTTAATGTTTTGTACTTGGCAATTTTTGAAATTAAGGAAATGCATCGGAGCAACAAGTGGTCTCATGCATGAAGTTCATATAGCCGTATGATATTGTCTTAGGGTAAGCAACATAGCATGTGGACAGGATGTGAAGCTAAAGATTAATTTTCTATCGAATTGCCTTACATTGTGAGCTTTTGAACTTTGGAATGTGTTGAAATGAAATATGTATATACTGCACACATGCATGCATACAGACGTGTGTATGAATATAAATATATACACACATATGTATATATCTGGTATATGTACATATTTATATATAGATAGCTATGACACATTCATGGTAAACGTCAAATATTAATTTGTATATTTATTCAATAACTTATGTACAATAGTGTATATATATATATATATTAACCATTTTCTTTCACCTCATACATTATTTTCTTTCGATTTGATTATTTCTTGACACGTTGACCTCTAGAGATGATGCCTTCTGAACCAATTGAATGTGGACAGTTGTCATAAATTACATCAGTCACATCACTAACACCATTGAACCTAATATTTGACGTGTATTTATCTCAAATGTACGAAGTTCTAGCAAACAGCATAACTAACGAGAAAACTATATTTCTAAACTTCGCGCACATATGTAATAATAGCAAGATTTATAATAACAAAAAAAGTGTTTTTATTAATTTTCATTAACCCATTATTTCACTTATCCATATGAGACTTATTCTATATTTGCTTTTGTTTCTTCTTCCAAGATGAATAGCACTAACTGAGGTCAGTGGGCACTCATGGTTAAATCTGTTATAATTGAATTTCACGCCCCATAAAATTCACGAGTCCATAGGGTTAACATAAGTTTTTTTTTTTGTTGTTGTTGTTGTTTTGAGCGGGCATTTTGTAAATGAAAAATACGAGAAAATTTCTTCTTTCAAAACTTACTCCCATTATTATCTCACAAACTATAGTGAATTAAAAGGCAATAATGATTCTATATTCTTATTTCGTGTTAATATTGCTAGTTATACTGTAAACTGGATTGAGTTTTGTGTTAATATATATGTTGTTGTTCACATTTTTCGTGTGGAACTTTATTGCTTTGCAAAAACTCGCGCAGTGCTTTTTTTTTTGCGAGTACAAATCTTGGTTGTTGATATTTTTTTCTTGTTAAGTTTACCATCAGCGACCGTTTTAAATTCGGTGGTATAATCTAACCGTCATAAAATTGTAGCTGTCAAACGAGTTTCAGGTGTGTTGGGTGAGGTGTACATCCGTTGCATAAGAAAGTTTGGCACGATATACAAAGACGTTTGACCACAAAGTAAGAATGTAATAATACAATTCGAACAAAAATATAGGATACTCATTTCCTGTTGTTTGCTTTGAGTAGTTTGATACTTAAGCGTATTTCGTCCATTAATCTGTATTATCTGTAGCTTTGTGTCTGTTTAATTAACAAAATAAAAATAGATGTGGTATCATCTTAACCTGGGCAAGAAAAATAGATGAATGAAAATACATATTTCTTGTTAACTGTTTGGTTTTCTTTCTAGTTGAAGAATACTGTTATTCTACCTGTAAGCCAGATTTTAATTTTGTGCAGACTGATGTATTATTATTTTCTTTGCGTATATAAGAACACATTGATTACATACTTATCGTGTGTAAAATAATGAAAGTCACATAGTAATTAATGGATGTTGTGTCAAACTGAAGAGCTGTATTTACAGCTTCACAAACATTGTTTGACGAAACTCACCTTTTCACAAATATTGCGTATCAGTCTAGCAGACACATTAAATTTCAAACTTTTATGCAAATAACACTGTAAAAAAAGATTCTGTTTGTACAAAGAAAAGATGCATTTGTTATTCAAATACTATAGCTTCAACATTAGAAGAATAACTCAAATGGTGTTTTACAGACAAACAAGATTCCTTGAAACAAGGATCTAAGTGATGGATCTTCTACATACACTAATCCTGCTTATCTACTTAAGGTGCAGTTATTATGTAAGGGTTGTTCAAATAAGTATTATGTCACCATTTCTCAAGAGGGGAACTGTTAATTTATGATCGTAAAAAAAAAACACTTCAAGTAATTATGAGGAGGTATTCAGGCCTCCCCTGAGGAGCGATGTCCCACTGAGATGTGACCATTGATTTGACCTGGGATCGAGAATAAACTAAGTGGCATGGAAAAAGGAATGCTAGGTTTCGACCGTACACTGTTCTCTTCATTATTCTCGACAGTTGTTTATTGGCTTTTGTAGCTGATAATTTTGTGAGATAAAGACAGTAATTCAGTTTCAAATATAACAAGGATAACGTGCCCATATGAATTGGCTGTTGCTTACCAGTCATAGGAATGTATTGCAAATACCTAAACATTTAAATTAATATAAAGATTATTAATCTATTTTCACGAGAAAACTTTGAATTTTTAAACAATGTTTCATTTCCTTCTCACCAAATGAAAATAGATTTTATAATGTTGGTTAGATAACGTTTTGAAAAAGCTAGATTAATCTAAAATACTGTTGCATATCGAATAAGTCTTGAAATTATATTTATAGATAATTATGGATAAGATCTTTAGCATGTAACCAATACTGAATGAAAATGTTTTTTATTTTTAATTGTAATTCAAAATACTCGTGCTGAATACTCTAAAAATGTTAATGACAATGAAAATAATTCTAATATATTACAAAAGTAACTGTTAACAAGTTTCATATCAATATCCACTTCACCAAACATGAAATAAAAATAGTTTGTTTCGATATTTAAAAAAGCGAAGAGACGTATTTGAATTATCGTAACGAGCTTTTTTTTTATACGTGTATGTATTTAGAATAGCTTAATGAAATTTTACTAAATGATATAATTGATATTTATTCCAAACGGATTATCTGCAGGATTAAAGGTATTGATGATCAGTATTAAATAACAGACTCGATTTTAGTTCACTGTTTAATTGAAACGTCAAGAAATGACGTTATGTTGATTTAGAAGCAAACGCTCATCAACTGTTATATTATGCCAAAAATATATTTAAATTTTGCAGTAATAAACGAGAATAAAGAAACATTTACATGATAATCTACATGATAAATAAGGAACATTCAAAATAACTCTAGACTGACATTATTAAGATGTCCAGTTGTTTTAGATCTCTCGAAATCTTAAGAAATACTTTCACCTGAGTAGGGATATTAATGTTCCCTTTGTATTTGAATCATCCCTAATATGTTTTAATTTAGGCTTATTGGGTGGATTAGGGAAGGTGAAAAGCAAATTGTACAGTTTTCATGTCTGTAAAACAGTCTCTCTCTATTTTTTTTTTGTTTTGTTTTGAGAACCACTCCTTAATTCTGACAGAACCAAAAATAACTATGCTTGTTAACTAAATGGTCGTTATAAATTAAATTGTGAAGCAGGTGGAACATTTCAAACGAAAAAGGAAGAACAGCTATGACTTTTAACCATTAAACTTGTGACAAGAAAACACTGACGAATTCGGCAATAAACTATACCGCTTCGTTTGGCTTTATGAATATATAGCTGAGATATTGAAAGACCCAATCCAAATAAATGCACGTGTTACATAATTTCTTTTTTATTTCAGCTCAAACTTGTTTCATACACATTTGATTATTTTATCTTAGTTCTATTTGGTTATCTTAACTATGATCATAAGTGTTTGTGTATTTTTGATCGCTAAAAGAATTATTAAATTACAAAGTATAAGTTCTTAAGAATATTTTTTTTTTTTACATGCGATACAATATAATTTTATCCCAGTGTATCCTATTTCTTAAGGTGATAAAACATAGAATAATTTCCTTATGTATCACATTTATTGTAGATATTAATAAACAGTCACTGAAGGTTTGATTCACCTTGTCATAGAACAGAAACGTGCATTCGAAGTCATTTCATTGCATCATTTTGACAGTCAGCAGCTTCACTGTAAAAAGCCCATAACATATTTATCGTTTCTGTATCTCTAGCGCATTTAGATTTCATAAACTGTTGTTTTTAAAATCATCATGTTTAAACTCGAAATATAGTCATATAGACATAAAACTTCAGCCCCCCTCCCCAACAGTGGCTCAGCGATAAGTCTGAAGGCTTATAACGTTAAAAACCGGGTTTCGATTCCCGTGGTGGGCGCAGCACAGATAGTTCATTGCGTATCTTTGCGCTTAACAATAAACAAACATAATGCTCTACTTTTTACTTGAAATTATTGTTCAACATATTATATAGGGGAAGATGACTTGTATGTATTTAATTGAAGTTTGTCGTGCAATGTAAATGTAATGTAGAAATGTTTTTTTCAGTCTCGTAAATTAAGCTTGTAATATTCAAAGAATATTTTAATCTGGTTTGTTTATATAGATCACAACCTCTAAAAGCCATGTCATGAGAACTTGTGCCAGTATAATGACTGACTATTTTATGATGTAGGTGCATGATGACACACATTTATGTGTCGTTTATTAATTAACCTAGTAACGGGAAGCAAAGGAATTATTAATGAACTTGGTAACCAGAAGCAAAGGAATGAAGAGGAAGTAATATGTATTTTGAAAACGGAAACATTCGTAATATTTTCAAATAATGGCCACCTCGTGAATTGTTTGTTATGAATTTCGCGCAAAGGTACACGAGGGCTAGCTGCGCTAACCGTCCATAATTTAGCAGTGGAAGACTAGAGAGAAGGCAGCTAGTCATCATTACCCACCGCCAACTCTTGGGCTACTCTTTTACCAACGAATAGTGGGATTGACCGTCACATTATAACGCCCCCACGGCTGAAAGGGCGAGCATGTTTGGTGTGACGGGGATTCGAAACTGCAGATTGTGAACCGAGCGCCCTAACCACCTGGCCATACCGGGCCTCACCTCGTAAAAGAAGAAAGTACGTTATCAGTATTCTTTATTGTATAATTATAAATTAAACCACAGCACCATTTTCTTACACCGATGTATCATTAAAGTTTGTCAAACGATACCCACTTTCGTAGTATTTTCTTGTTATAGTATGAAATAATGATTTGAATAGTGAGTTTTGAACAAACTGTGGAATTATGATGCATAAATCTGAAGTGTGAATTTTAATTCTATTTGTTCTTGCCGACTATTTTTTTGTTTCTGCATTGAGTGAACTGCAGGATATGAGAAAATCCCAATTTGGAAAGTAACGTTTAAATAAACAGCAGTAATAAAAGAGCAATATTCCAGTGCATCAGCGGTAAGTTTACAGATTGCAAAATCCATGGTTCGATTCTCCATAGTGGACAGAGTACAAATTGTCTGTTAGGAAGCTTTGAGCTAGAACAAAGAAAACCCAAATTAAAGGTCAATAATGGTATATTTATTTCTCAAATAATATTAATAAGAATGGTATTGGTTAAAGAACAATAACATTTTTAGACATATGTTTAATGGGAGTTATAGAGAGAGACTGTTTTCCACGTTCAGGTTGTATGTTCTTCATCTTATTAGTTTGCCAAAGTGTCGTCGCGAATCCTATGTTTTAGTTTCGTAATTCTTCTTTTGATATTTACAAATAGTAAAGTATCAAGTATTATGTTTTTCGTGATGAGTTTTCTTTTTTAAAAAAAAGTTCATTGTAACTACGGATCACTAGGAAATATATGAAATTTGAATCATTCACAAATGATGTAGTTATGTTGTTTTTATTCAGATATTTCGCACAAACACAGTTAACATTAGGAAAATAAGCAAATAATGTTTATCAAAAAGTGATATTTTATGGGGAAAATCACACCACAATATAGAATTTATAAGCAAAAAAAACTTAGTTTTAAAGTTTGTAAAAATGGATGTACTTCTGAAACTTCGTTCATTTGGCTCACAGTAGCTTAGCGGTGTGTCTGAGACCCAATATAGCTAAAAATTGGGTTTCGATAACTGTGGTGGGAAGAGCACAGATGGATAGCCCATTGTGTAATTTTGCGCTTAACAATTGGCGCGTTCATTTGTATAACCACTACACTATTTTTATGTATGTGCTGCCATCTGTTATCTATCAAAATTATTTTTAAAAAACAAGAATGAATTCACAATCACGTTAAATGTGACAAAAATACTATATACCGTATTAATTGTTTTACACGAACTTTAATATAACTAGACAGATGCTTCAACTAATTTAATGTGAAATGTGGCTAGTGCTAGTCAACTGTAATCTCCATAGAATATTTCGTTAAATTGAACCGTAGTTTGCTATTCGTTTATGTAGATATGTTAATACAATACTCATAAGAAGAACACCAAGGCGACGTATGTTTATATTTTTTCGGCGAAAATGACAAGGCGAAATGTAAAATAATTTAGTTTTTTAAATATTACCACCAAACACTTCCTATTGGTTGTGCTCTATTTATTTCTTGAATGTTGACGTTTGAAACGTAATATTGATGGCAAATACATTTTTTTTTCAATAGAACGTAACGTATTTTAATAAAGAGCTTCAGTAAAATCCTTGATTACATTTTATCGCGAACAGTTTCTTATAAAATAAAAAGTTCTTATGTTACTTTTTTTTTGCCTGAGCAATACTTTCATGTCCTGTGATCTTGAAGGAAGATTGTAATTTTTTTCCGTTTAATAAATATATTCTTTGTCATCGACAGAAAGTGTGTTTATTGTTTATATATTGTGTACTTTTCAACAAATTTAAAATCATTTGGAAGCCTTACAGATAAATAAAGCACAAGGGAATCGTCCTAAATCCAGAATTATTCTAACTTGATGGTTATAATGTGACAATATAACCCGTGTCAATCTGGTATTATTATTCGCAGTAGGTGATATTGCAGCTGGCATGCTCTCTGCAGAGGTTCTGCTTCAAAAACAGCTTGGTATTAGGCGGTCGTACTTAGCTATTTGATGAAGTCATCAGTCTAATTGAGCTCTTTTCCCTTGTGTTTCATCAGGCCCACGTCGAGACCCACCGCGAAGGGAGCGCCTCACCGAGCGAGAAGACGAGCCAGTGTGCCTTCTGCCATGAATTCTGCCCTAGTCCAGGGGCTCTCCGACTGCATATGGAACAAAGCCACCCCTCCGAAGCTCAAGGAAAATGCCCAGTATGTCGAGATATCTTTTCTTCAGTGCAGTCTTTGATCCACCATAAAAAGGTAAATCGTGGTATTTGAACCCCAGGAGTTCCACATTAGGACTGATTCTAGAGAATGTTTTGTTCCAAGTAGTTTATCAACTCAGAAAATTATCAGCGTCCTTGACTGTTTGTTTTTAAAACAAAAAACAACAATATTTGAAATTTAATAAGATGACAGTTTTTATATAATATCATTATTCATAACGCGTTTACTTCTCTTAAGACTATAAGTACACAGTTATCTGACAATACTCGACGTTTCTAATTGATTCAGAATCCGACTGTGATAATAGAAGTACAGCCTAACTTCCTCTGGAGACTGAAAATGAGTCTAAACAAACATAAGTTAGACATCACAAGTTATTATCTAATGATGGTGAGATTTTTGTTTTATTAAAAACATGCGTTTTAAGACACTTAGTTATAGATGAATAAGAATAAAACAAAAGCACTGTGTTCAAAATTTTATACACTTACCGTAATAAATGGCTGTTCGTGTACTGTACGTTAAACTAATATCATTAATACCATTATTCATCAGGTAATATCTTTAGAATAATTTGAAAGTGCTTTGTAATTGTAGTTGTAAACTATTTTGGTTTTACCAGCCTCATACAGGTTTGTCTTACACTGGGTGGTTGGTTTCTCTGTTGACTGTGAATTTATGTCATTGACAATGTCAGTTTAGCAAAACTCTGTAATTTCGAAATTGGAGTAGCACCAAGTTTCCTTTAGAGCAAATCAGAAACTTTAATTTTGTTATAAAGTGAATCCTATTTACTTTAAATGACTTCTAAAGGCTTTCAAATTTTTACTCAATATCATTTCATAAGAGAATGCAGTGAGAAACTTCTTTCACTGTAACTGTTTTATGTGATTGTTTTCAAATGTTTTTGGTTTTCCTTCAACGCTTAGAAATGAATCTTTGAATTACGTTATTGTAGTCTCTACTATTTTTTGTATTGTAATTTTACTTTGAAATGGAATATGACCGATATTTAAACATTTTCTTAGGTTCACACTGATGCCGAAATGGAGGATATTAGCAGTAGTGCTGAAAGTAAGAGAGAATCTACTAAGTTCCTATGCGGTTTCTGTGCAAAAGGTAGCTTTTCTACATTAGAAGCTTTACAATTACATGTGCAAACAGAGCATGCGCCAACATCGGGGGAAGATGTGGGGCAACTTCTTCTAAATTCTCCATCCTATTTTAACCTTTCTTCATTGGCGCTTACATTACAGCAGCATCAAGCGCGTAGCAACAACGGAAGTTTTAGCTGTGAATATTGTAATATGAAATTTAATAGTGTCCATAGTCTTCAGAAACACACACTTACCATTCATAGTTTTACAGATCTTTTTCCTAAAGTGCAAGAAAACCTTTACTGTCCGCAGTGCAATATGGGATTTCCCAGTACTGTTTCCCTCACAGAACACACGAAAACGTTCCACGAGAATAGAAATGAAAGTCCGAAACATAATGTAACTGCAACGAAAGACGGTACCTTAAGTACCCTCAGCAACAGCAGTGGATTTTGGGATAAAACTTCAACTAAAGCTCAATCATATTCGACAAAAGAATCAACAGTCAACGGAGGTATCCCATCCTTCCCACACAGTGGGCCCTTACTTTGTAGTCAGTGTAATGCTGCATTCCCAGATTTTGAGTCTTTTCGGACTCATCTTAAGACGCACTTAGAAGCGGCAATCCAGAATTTTACTTGTAGTGAGTGCGAGGTTGAGTTTCCTACAGAACAGCAACTAGATGCGCACGTAGTGACGCATTTCTTATCAACATCAACAGAGTATGGTTGCAGATGTTGTCTCAAACTTTTCACCAAACCAGACGAACTCCAGAAACACTTGATGGATATCCACGCTCATCATCTGTATAGATGTTCTCTCTGTAAGGAAATATTTGATTCTAAAGTAAGCATTCAGGTTCATTTTGCTGTAAAGCACAGTAATGAATGTCGACTCTTCAAGTGCACGAGTTGTAATGCAGTCTTTCGCTCTGAAATGGAGTTCCAACTACACGTTAAAGTAATGCATTTGTACAAAATTCACCCTTTTCGCTGCCTACTTTGTGATCAGTGTTTCTCAACAGAATTTCAACTTCAGTATCATTTGAACACTCACAAAAAGGAGTTCTCTTGTGCCTCGTGTAACGAAGCCTTCCATGTCGAATTCCTTTTGGATAAGCACATGCAGGCTTGTCACAATCAAGAAGCCAAGGGTCCATCAGCGAGCAACCAGTTATCTATGTCTGCCGACGGTGTACAGAATCTTAGCCTTAAGCCATTAAACGGTAGAAGTGAGACGCTAACACCCTCTCTAAAGTGTAAAAAAGATTTTAGCTGCGAAATATGTGATGGTATTTTTTCATCGGAGAGCCACCTGAACTCTCATCGCCGGCAAGTTCACAACATTCGAACGTCTGGTTCTCAGAAATCCGGGCAGACAACATTAAGTTTATTTTGTGCTTACTGTAATGAATCTTATAAAACTCGTTCGGAATTGGAAAACCACATGAAAACGCATACTATCAGCCCTTCCAAACACAAATGTAATATTTGTGATGAGCTTTGTCCCACTGCAGCAACACTGGCCGAACACAAGCTTAGCCACTGCAAAGTACTCACTGGTAGCATTTGCGTGACGTGTAAGAAAACGGTGAAGAACGAAGAAGAGTTCTACAGCCACATTCAGCAGCATAGCGCTATTGGTTTGCCAGTTCCGTGTGTTATCTGTCAACAAACTCTAATGTCAGACGTGGAAATCCAAGTCCATTCCAAGTTTCACCTGAAAAACTGTGATCCTCTTTATTCCTGTTGCGTCTGCACGAAGCAGTTTGAAGCCAATAATCTCATCATCACGGGGAAGCAAGACAATGGTCATACTTACATGTGTAAAGATTGTTTTCATGCTAGAAGCGAAGACCTGCGATGTCCAGAGTGTAAGGTGAAATTTGAAACTGTGAGCGCATTAGAAAAACACAAGTTGACCCATAAGAAGACGTACCAGTGTATTAAGTGTCAAATGTCATTTGAAAGCGAGGCAGAAATTCAAGCTCATGTTACTTCACACATGATACAAGAAGGGACCAGCCACGAGTGCAAGTTATGCCACACTGTGTTCGAATCTCCAGCCAAGCTCCAATGTCACCTGATTGAACATACATTTGAGGGTTGCAGTTGTTACACGTGTTACATGTGTAGTGCAGTGTTTACAGCCCCGCACTTGATCCAGCAACACATGCTAGAACATGGACTCAGTTCTCGACCCTATGACTGCGCTCATTGTCACCAGAGATTCTTCTTTCGGGCTGAGCTAGAAAACCACTCGCACATGCATAAGGAGAATATTGACAGTGGTGAACATTTAAACTGTCCAGACTGTAGTAAACTATTCAACAACATAGTTAATCTTAATAATCATCGAAAAATCCATGAACAAAATAATAATACTCTAAAGTGTTCCATGTGCCCAGAACTTTTTCATAATTCCGGCGACATGCAACAGCACTATTTTAGATGTCATGCAGACACAGAGCTTGGCAGTGGCAAAAAACTTTTTTCATGCACCGAGTGCGAGCAGGTTTTCCCCTGTCTCAGCAACCTTCAGGGGCATGTGAGGATCCATGCTCAGGGAACTAAATACACTTGCCCAGAATGTAAAAAGGAGTTTGCTCTTTCTCGAAACCTCAATATACACATGCGGTCTCATAGCGGTGAGAAACCTTATGAATGTCCCATTTGTAAAAAACGTTTTGCTCGCAAAGAAAATCGGAAGGCACATCTTAAATCTCACTCTGGCCTCAAACCTTTCATGTGTCCGCATTGTGGAAAAACATTCTCTCGCAAATGTCATGTCAAGGAACACATGCGCATTCATATCACTTCTACTACTCATCCATGTGAAAATTGCACGGAAACCTTTCGATCGCTCAAACAGTTGAAGCGTCATCTTGTGGATATCCACCAAAAGCACTACGATCATCTATGTTCTCTTTGTGGAGAAGTTTTCAACCAATCAAAAAGTCTGCAGAACCACATGCAAAAGAACCACGATGTGACAACTACAAGCTCAGAACATGATCTTCCAGAAGACTTATCTGAATCTTCTCCCGGTCAAAGTTCAGCATCGGGTGACATTAAAGACTTCGAAGAAAGCGAAACAAGTAGTTTGGTAGAAGAGGGAGATACCAGAAGTTCTTCACTTCCTGCAATACAGGATAATGTAACTTTGGCAACAAAAGTCGCGGCATAATTCTAAAGTATTGAAATATTATAGAGGGTGCTACCGGATTAGACCTGCCTTAAAAGTGACCTTCAACAGAAAATGCGGTAATGATTATTGTTTTAAGTAACTTCTAAAAAGAATTACTGAAGTATTGTAAATACTCAAAGGTTTGTATTCTTGTTTATACAATATTTTTTTTGTGCAATTATGTTTTGTACTGAATTTCTATATTTTCGCATAGCCTGTTAAAAAAAAGCGGGAGTATTTCAGTAATTCCTTTATTTATTAATTATCAAACAGGAAGTAAATTCTTCCAGTGATGTTTATATTGCTAAAATGCAACAGTATTGGTTGTTTTATCTATTTTTCTTTTGTGTGTAGTGATCTCAAGGATAAGTCATCACTTGATATAATATTTCTAATATCATATTACAGTTAATCATGTTGACGGTTTACTTTAACTCAAAGGAGTAAAGGGATGGAGACTTTTTTGTTTGGGTTATGTTCCTTAGGAGTCGGATGTCTCCTCTATATAAAGAGTTGTACGCTTTATAGGTTCTGGTAAATTAAAGATAGATATTTGTCAACTAACATTTTCGTCTTTATTTCCTTATTTTACATTGGTCATTAATAATTACACAGGCCTGCGATGGTTTATTGACTTGAAAATTTTACATGTTCTACAGTAATTCCTGTACGCTGAGGCCCGGATATGGCCAGGTGGTTAGGGCGCTCGACTCGCAATCTGAGGGTCGCGGATTAGAGTCCGCGTCACACCAAACATGCTCGCCCTTTCAGCCGTGGAGACGTTATAATGTGACGGTCAATCCCACTATTCGTTGGTAAAAGAGTAGCCCAAGAGTTGGCGGTGAGTGGTGATGACTAGCTGGCTTCCCTCTAGTCTTACACTGCTAAATTAGGGACGGCTAGCGCAGATAGCCCTCGTGTAGCTTTGCGCGAAATTCAAAAACAAACCAAACCTGTACGCTGAATCCCAAAATGATATCCATTTTTCACCATTACGTACAGATTTTTCACAAAACGTCATATGTACTTTTACATAAGTGAATCATTTTCATTGAAATCGGATCACATTTTGTTATGCTTAAAATGTTGACAACCACTGCTTATAGATTTCTCTAGAACAATCGCGACGTGAGAGTTTTATCGATCGTTCTAGAACCCAAACATAACAAACATAATAACAAAAATATTCGTTGTGGTAAACGAAATAATAATTTGATCTAAGTAAGTTTTTCTTCTTTCCGATTTGTAAAAAAATCCTCACGTGATAGAAAAAAAATTAATATTATTTTTGAAATCTGCGTAGCAGAATTATAGAAATTCCGTTATTAAAACCAAAACAACTTTTATGAAGTATAAATTCGCAGGCCTGTGTAATTAAACATTTTCGAAGCCTTAAAGATCTAAACGGTTTATACTAATGTATAGTGACCATGACATTTACAAGCGTGATAACCCTTCAGTCTGAGGGCTCACACTGCTAAAAAATGGGCTTCGATACTCGTTGTAGGCACAGCGCAGATAGCCCATTGTTTAGCTTTGTGTTTTAACAACAAACAAACAAGCGTCATATTAACTTTTATTCACCAATACATATTGAAGAGACACCATGAAATATTCCTACTGTCGATCGTGGTATAGAAAAGAAAACATTTTAATATTACATGATTAGCTTCCTTCTCTAAGAATAGGAATAGGATCTTACAATATTTAACTCTGCCCCCTCCCCCCCCCCCAGAAATCGTGAATATAGCAAATGTTCTATAACATGTGTTAAATAATTGATTGGCAGATGTGTTTTTCTTGAATTTCTGTAATGAGACTGTGAGTCTAAAGGTGAAATATGCAGAGTAAAATTACCATTAACAGTAACTCCAGCATTTTACATTAGAAATGACAAACGAATGTTAAAAACAATTAACAAATTTGTTTCTCGGTTAGACTAATAATAGGTCAATGCTACTATGAATGAAGATAATTTAAGATTAGTAAATTAATATTTCAAATTGCGATGTTAAATGTTTCAGATTCTGAATATCTGAACTTTGACTTTTAAGTAATCAATTTATTTGCGAGCGCACGGTGTATATGTTACATATTAACATTAAACACCACCGGTCATGAAACGTATATTCGTTCCAAATCGATTTGTTCATCTTAAAGCCATAAAAATAGCACCAGCGCTAGACCACTACTATGTCTGTCATATCAAGTCGGCCTAATGAGCCCTGGTATCTAAAGAAAGGCCTCGTCGGCACTGGAAATTTCAGAAGTACCATAGTTACTATACGTACGGTAACATTGGCAACACTGTGAACTCTAACAACATTTTAATAATACACGAAATACTTTTATTTCGCAACATTCACGGTGTTTTGTGCATATTACAATGTAAACTCACGTGTAACTGCAAAAAGTTGAAATGTACACGTACACAAAGCTGTTACTATTATTGTTATGTGTGACTTCTTTTGAAGAAATGAAAAGTGAGATTTGGAGGAACTCGAACTCTCGATTTTGCATACTTTGGAGATGCACCTTTAAAGTTTCTATAGCCTAAATACTATGTGGAGTAATTTGTAGTGGTTTATTAAATAATTAAATTATTACTTTAAGTAAGCATTATTCTTATAGTATACAATCTAATGGAAAGTAGAAAAATATAACTTTACACAGAACAATCATATCTAAGATATTAGGAAACAATTAAAACGACTGATAAAACACAATTCAAGAACTCTTTTTCAGACGATTTACTTTAATTATACCAAGCAAGTTCATGTGTAAAAATTAGTTGAAATCAATTGGGTATTTTATCATCTATGTATAGTGAGACACAAATAGATAAACAAGTATGTGCTTTCTAATGTTAATACAGCATTATAAAGAAAAAATAAATAAATACCGTATCCTTTATTAATTCACGTTGTGTGTTTGTGAAATTCTTTGTCCACGACCTCTTCCCACAGTTTTGAAGCAAGCAGGATCAAACTTGGTCGGCGGAATCAGGGTGGCTGCCCTCATCTTTACACTTATTTACTTGGTGTACCAAGAAAGTACTAAATTGCGCCCGGAATGTCGTCCCAAGCATGATAGGGGGTCTTGGAGTAAGTCTGTAGGTCTCACAATTCGAAGCTCGTATCGAATTTTGTGTTTTACCCCCCTCTCTTTCGAACTCCCGGGGGTGCCTTTTTGAAACTGTGTTAATACTTCCACTCATAAGCTAGCGGAACAAAGCTACATTCACGTATCTTAGTGTCTTGGGGATAAAGACTTCCTTAGATTAGTTATCAGATTCCCACTCACAAGCTAACAGGTACAACCTTGGTATACGTGATAAGTAAGGTATTATGGGCGGGTGTCCTAACGTAATTTTTGTGGGGGGGGGGGACAGAACCTCTTGATAGTAGTTGGGGATAATGGAAGAGCTTGATGGGTACACTAGGACCTCCAAGAACAATGAAGGGGCCTTTGAACCCCGCAGCAGAGAGCGGGTATTTTATGCATATATATTAATAAAAACTTTTTGTCAAATATCTCTGTCGTCTTTCTGTGATACGGTGTTGCTTTGTACGTGATAGATGTACTTATGAGTTTTAGAAATGCACTAACAAAAAAGAGAAATAAGATTGCAAATTTTACACACCATTTCACGCGATACATATAGAGAACAAATGTTATCCAGCGGTGACACCTTTTGATTTGCTGAGTTTGTTTAATTTTGCGTAAAGCCACTCGAGGGCTATCTGTCCTTAATTTAGAAGTGAATGAGTAGAGGAAAACAACGTAGTCAACACCACCCACCCTCAACTCTTGGCCTACTCTAATCGAATAGTATGATTTTCCGTCACATTATAATGGCTGAAAGGGCAAGCATGTTCGGTGATGAGATTCGAATCCGTGACCCACAGATTGAGAGTCGAGTGCTATAACCACCAGGTAGCGTCAGTTTGCTGAGAAAATGAGCAATATGACATCTGTTGTGCATAGCTATATTATATTTCACGGGTTACATAGAAAAATCGTCTACCGAATAAAATTCACACGTGCAAAAAAATTTACGTTATACATATATTGTAAGTGATAGTCTTGGCTTTGTTCAATTCGTGCCAAGTTTCACAACACTGACGTATAAATATACTTCATTACGACGAAAAAAAAAAGGAAGATACAGGAGTATAACAAACCACCTAAGATCACATATTTCAACCCTCCACCCCCGGATTTATCGTATAGTACAAAACTAATTTGGACAAGAAAATTTACGTTGCTCAGGATATCCTTATGATGTGGTATATTTGAGTTTAGTTTGTAAAGAACTTCTGCAGTATTATACGAATGAATATAAACCGTTGGAAGAGAGTAGGAGAAACGATATACCCTCGCTATAATTATAATCTAAGGCAAAGTAAAAACAAATCGATCTACTCCAAAGGTCAAACTGTGCAAATGCAAGTCTCTAAAAGCTCACTAGTACTTTATGAACCAGTACCCTCTATTAAAGTTAATACTTTCACCATACACCCAGGGACTTCGGTGAGACCCGTTTAGCAAGTTTCCATGGTGATTTTCATACAATTCTAGAACATTACGATCCCCACGAGACCGCACTACAGCCTCCACTTGCGTTACCACAATGATCATCTTGTAGGCCTCCACCCATATCGTGCCCACGCGAGATCTCGTGCTCACGAGCCTCAAGAGGATTTGATAAATTTTGCTGTTACCAAGGGATCAAGTCACTCACTAGCTTCCTCGTTTTTTAAATTTTGCTATGATCTCAGTTTCTTTAGAAATATCTTGAGCATTATGAGCTGCAAAAGTTTCATTTCTCTTTATGTCCTACCATTCTCGCGTTACGCTTCACTGTTATCTTGGGGAAACAGTTGAGTTATATTATCTTCTGTATCTGTAATAAATTGTAACAATGGGACATTGTACGCTTATAATGTACATTATGTTATACCTTAATATAAAAACCCATCTTGCAGTTGTCGTACGTGCTCAACACTTAAATGGACACAAATACCGCTGCGATGGATAAGCTTGCTAACTGTTCTAAATAGCAATTAATGAAGTGAGAACATTGACACTCATTAATTTACAAACGTAGCTTTTTATCGATAAATAAACGAATTCGTCAGGATTGGTCTTCACTGAAACACCCAGAAGAGGTTCTGAAACATCTGAATTGGCTTAGAATGGGCCTAGATGAAATCTATAACTGTAATATTTACATTACAGGAAGGACTAGAATGTAAATGAGTAATGCTGAATATGAAACTAAAAAGGCTAATACATCAGCTTTGTACCAGCTAATTGTTAAAAATCAATAAGCACAAGTGTAATATATAACAATGAATGTTTACTATGCGCTCTCAGATCAGAATATATCAGTAAACAACTCTTTTAGAAATTGTCTCTATGTGGCTCAACAGTAAGTTGAGTGCTTATAACACAAAACAATTGAGGTTTGATTCCTGCGGTGTGAAGAAATAAGCCCATTCTGTAGCTTTGCTTTTAACAGCAAAATC